CCTCCCAAAGGCGCGGGATTACAGGCTGAGCCACCGAGCCTGGCTAATTTTTTTATTTTTGTAGAGACAGGGTTGCACTATGTTGTCTGGTCTGGAACTCCAAGCAATCCTCCTGCCTTGTCCTCCCAAAGTGCTGGGATTACAGGCATGAGCCACCATGCTGGCCTATACAGGTCTTATTGTTAACCCCAAGTTTATTCATAGACAGACCCTTTTGATTCACAGCAGACTTTGATTTTTAGTTCTCTGCTGTCAGATGCTCCTGAAACAATACTTTTTACCCAGGTGCCCCTTGTGGCTTCTAACTGTCTCCTGTTTATTATGCGTGTTTTCCCTTTTCCCTTCCCATCTTTCTTTTTTGAGTTGGAGTCTCACTCTGTTGCTCAGGCTGGAGTGCAGTGGCAGGCTCACGGCCACCTCAGCTGGGCTCAGGTAATCCTTCCACTTCATCCTTCCATGTAACTGGAACTACAGGTGCACGCCACCATGACCAGTTAATTTTTTTTGATTTATTGTAGAGATGAGGTCTCATCAAGTTGTCCGGGCTGGTCTTGAACCCCTAGGCTCAGGCAGTCCTCTCACCTCAGCCCCCCAAAATGCTGGAATTACAGGCTTGAGCCACTGTGCCTGACCCCTTCCCATCTTTTCTATTTTCCACCAAGCCCTGTAGGTTGCTCCATTTAGAAGACATTAATTCAGCTGTGGCTTTCACAGGGAAAGTGGTTTAGGTATAGGCGTTCTTCTTGCTGGGCTTAGCAGGGAAGGGGGCTATGAGGGCAGAGGACCGGAAGACATGAGGTTGACAGCAGCTTGCTCGTCTCTTATTTTCACTCTATTAGAAACACTCAAAAGTAGGACACTTGGCAGTTCAGTATTTGTCGTGAACATCTGGCCTTTCAATCTGCCCCTCCAGCTGTCCTGTCTCCCTGACCCACTTCAGGGACTGATGGGGCTGCCAGGCAGAGGGCCCCTGGGTGTCCCGCCAGACTAGTAGTGCCTGCACTTCTGACTCCCATGGACAGCCAAGGGGCAGACATGTGACTCTAACTGAGCTATCTGGAATCGTCCATGAGACTGCATATCCAGTCATTACATATGAGGGCTCCTCTTCCTCGAACTGTAGGCAACTATAGTTTTAGAGCTATTCAAGGCTGTTTCCTGACATAGGCAGAGAGATCTTTATAGTAGATGAGAATTCAGCCAATGCAGAGAAGAGGGTTGAGATATGGAAGGAGGGGTAGAGAGGGAGACAGAAAGGAGGAGGGGGGGAAGAGAGAGAGAGGAAGAGAGGGGGAAAGAGAAAGAAAGGGAGAGACGAGAGAGAGAGAGAGAGAGAGAGAGAGAGAGAGAGAGAGAGAGAGAGAGAGCGAGGGGGAGAGAAAGAGAAACAGAGCAATAAACACACACATAGGGAGAGACAGAGAAAGAGCTAGCTTTCTGTTAACTGTTAACTAAATGTTAGCTGTTAACATTCTCTAAGCATTTCCACTCTAACCCTTCTCAGTTAAATGATCCAACATATCTTTGTTTTGTGTGCTTAATCAAGGTTGGATATCTGTCACCTGCAACCCAAAGTACCCAGGACAAAAAAGGTGACACCTATGGCTTTTTTTCTTTTCTTTTGAGAAAGCAGGATTTATTGAGAGGACAGAAAACCTCCCACAGCTTCGGGAGGGGGCCCGAAGGGGTTACCCAGCTGTGGCTCTTCAAGTACAGGAATGCCGCGCGCCTGTAATTCCAGCTACTCCGAAGGCTGAGGCGGAAGGATTGCCGGAGCCCAGCAGGCAAGGCTGTGGTGGCCAGGAGCGGCCACTGCACTCCAGTCTGGGCAACAGAGTGAGACTCCAACTCAAAAAAAAAAAAAAAAAAAGTACAGGGATACTTGAAGTCAAAACTATTTTTTAACAATGCCAGGACATTTACCTTTTTCTCTGTGATAAGCATTGTGCTCACGGTGCAAAGTCAACTATGGGCTCAGCTGTCAGTGTCTGAGACGAGTCATGCATTGGTACAAACTGTATCAGCCGTCATTGTGTTCTCTGCACTAAAACCACAAAAATAAAAATCAGCTCTAGTTTCTGTTAAGAATGTTCTTAATGAGGGACCTGTGTGGTGGCTCATGCCTGTCATTCCAGCACTTTGGGAGGCTGAGGAGGGAGGACCACTTGAGGTCAGGAGTTTGAGACCAGCCTGGGTACAAAGTTAGGCCACCATATGTAAAAAAAAAAAAAGGAGAAAGGAAAAAATAACATACTTAATGAAGCAGGAAAAATGACTGTATTAAGTCTTGACCCTTGAGTAGAAATCTTTTTAATACTCTCTGTGACAAAATGGGAAGTACACAGGAAGCATTTCTGCTGCATACCTGAGTATGACTGGTTGTCTTGAGGGAAAGATTTTGGTTTCCCCAAGCCCAGGGTTCTTCTCCTGTGATGCAGCCCACTGAGAACGCAGGTATCATCCTTCTTCAGTCCCCTGGTGGGAACTGGAGCTGAAGAACCTGTGCAAAATGTCCACACTCCAGCTTCTGCTCCTGCCCTCACTCCTGAGTAATACAACAGACTTTGACTCTGAGCCAGGAATCTCACATTAATATCCACAAATCTGGCTCAGGCTAATTTGTAAGCTTGCAAGGAGGGTAAAAATCTCAGATTCTAGCCAGGCGTGGTGGCGCGTGTCTGTAATTCCAGCTACTTGGAAGGCTGAGGCGGAAGGATCGCCGGAGCCCAG